TTTTAGTTTTAGGATTGTTCAATCTATTATCATAACATTCTCTTTATGTTGTTTGCAAGAAGATTCTCAAGTGTGTGCCAATAACGTGACTATCCAGCCAACCAAGATCCATCTTACCAAAGTGATGGCGATGACATCCACAGATGATTTCAGGAAAGTCCTACCCCTCCTTTGTATTTATTATCACATTGGGGACAATGCATGTTTTAAGTTTGGAGGTGAATCATTTGGATTAATTGTTGTCTTTTTTTTCATTCCTTTTTTTTTTTTTTTAGTAGTATGATTGTGTAATTGTTATTTAATTTCGTGTGAATGTGTAAAAAGAAAGAAAAAAAATTGCATGATTATGTGAGGTAGATGGGTTCATGGGTGACGATGAATATACTTGAGATCATGTGTTAGCTTGTGGACTGTGAAAGATTTATATGTTTGGGTTGAGATTTTATCTATATCTGTGAAGCAGTATAATATTATGGACGAGTATTAAGTGTAGTACTATATAGGAACATGAGGGTTCATATGCATGGACTAGATTGATAACTTAGGTGCTTGATCTTCTAACCCATGATTTACAACATCCTTTAACCATATACTTAATAATTTGGGGCGTTCTAACCGGTGAAAGAAATAATTTAAGACTATGGTGATTCCATCCATGTAAATAGATTGTGTGAATTGTCTTTGACTTTTTGGTACAAGCTTGGTGATGACCAAATGCTAGAAATCTAGCTCCTATAAATTTCACATCCATTTTATAGAAAATAAGAATTGCACTTATTCAGCTATGCCTTACACCTACATCTTTTTTACTAGAGTTATTAAGTCCGTAGGGGTCTCTTAAAACCTGGTATCCTTTGGTATGCAAAAACTAGAGAGTTATTGATATAACACTCGCTACAAGGGTCAAGAAAAGGAAAAAGGGGTGAGGTAATAACTGAACAGAAAAAAAAATAGAGACAAAAAAGGAGAAGTATTGGTATACAAGTGCGCAAAGAGACTAATCTTGGGAACTTAGATAGCTAGTAGGTTTGAATTACTCAGTATAAATTAGATTGTTGAAACATTCATAATTAAGGAAAATACATGAATGAATTGCTGACGTCACCAGTTGAACTAAACCAAATTAGAGTGGTGTGAGAAATTGATAAATAAGATTAAACTTTAGAATTACATCATGGTGAGCAAATAGAAGAAAACAAGTTTGGAGATGTGTGAATCTAATGAGCGAAGAAAGGAAATAATTGACCATTGAGGGCTCGGAAGTGACACACAAATGACTGTTTTGCATGGGATAAGTGAACGTTTAGCTCTTGCGTTGTGATCTCGAAATCATTCATGAATATGACATAATGTTCTCAATGTTAAGCCAAAAGCCAAGCCATCTGATTGAATTATTGTTTGTGTCCTTTTTTTTTTTATTTGTGTTTGCTCTTGGACTAACAAACTCTTAAATTTGGGGGTATTTGATGAGTGTGTTTTACTAACGAATTTCTGACCATTTTAATTTGATTGTGAGCTAGATTTTGCGAGTATTCAATGTTTTTAATGTGTTTATTAGCGTTGTTTTATAGGATTTTTAAGATGGTGAAAGATACGAGAAAGTTCATCAAATAAAGCTATTGGCATGGATCAAAAAGAAATTGTGGATAAAATGGCGAAAGAGGCAAAACACGATGTAGATTCGGTGCCACACGAAGAAGTGGAAAATCGCCGAAATGAACAAGATTTTTAAGTTTGGACGCTAAAGTGTAAATACTCAAAAGTTGTATCTAACCTCATGATGAAGATTCGAGAATGCTAAGGTCAATTGGATGCAATTAGAAGTCAAAAGGAATGAAATTTGATCAAAATATGGACATGATGTTGATTTTCAATCGCTTAAGTATGCTTCGGATTTTCAGCTCAAGATTGAAACCATTTTTGACCCAGTAAACATTCGAATGAGAAAATCACTAATTCAATCAAATTTGTATCCCTTTGAGTTAGCTTTACAACCAACTTGAATCGCCCCGATCGGACATTGGGAGAGAAGGTTACGTAAAAATACTAAAGGAAGCTCAGTGCAGATTTAGCGCAACCAAAACAGAGCTGCAGTGCTACTCCTATGGTACCAAGGCGCAACCTGGGTACATCTAGGGCACGTTTTGCCCCATTTTGAAGTTCATAAAACCCTACTTTTGACATAAATGTGCAGGCACTTATAAATATAATTTTTTCACACTTTGAAAAGGGAATTCCACACAGTGAGAGGAGGATAACACAACTTGAGAATTAAGGAGCAAATTCAAGAGGAGAGAAAAAACAATTCAAGGGTTTGAAATCAAGATTTGGAACGAAAAGAAGAACTTGGAGCAAGATTCATCCACTCCTCTACACCTAAATTCAAAACCTAGTGATGGACTTCACTATTGTTATTTGTTTTTCTTCCTCTATTATGAATAGTTAAAATTCTTTTTAGGGTGAATAATGTAACTTATTTGGGACCTTTTACATATTTTATTTAAGATTCTTGTTCTTTATTCTCTCTCATGTTGATTTTACTATGAGTTTAATACATTGAATTACTTGATCACTAATTTGATCATTTTGTGAATCATTTACCTCTCGAGAGGTGAGTGTAGGATTTAGACCATATGGTAAAATACGATAAATTGTTATATAATGTGTAGAGATATCTATACTAATTATAACGATCATAATTGAATTCTTAGAGCAAGGAACTCATTTAACTAAACTTGATTCGCATATAGATACTGAATTGAATTAGTTAAATAGGCTCAATGCGAACTCAATAGGTGTAAATTAAATACAATAGGAGAATTTGACTGAACACTACAGAAGATATAAATTTTGATATAAGATATACAAATGATTAATAGGTGAAATTATTCTGCCATAATATTTGTTCATTATTTAAGTTCTAAATCACTCTTTGTGGTCATATACATATTTTCAAATAGTTGAATCAAAAATCAAAACATCGATTTTATTTTTTTCGATTTTATTTTTTTTTTACTTTTTTAACTTTCCATCAAAATAAAGTGAGGAATAATTGAACAAATAGTAGTTCTCGTGGGAATGATATTCGGACTTTTAGGTTCACTTTATTACTTGTTACGACCTACACTTGCGGGATATATAATAGACAACACATTCTCACTGCTAATACTATTTTTGGATCAAGTCTATCTATTAATACTATTTTTGGATCAAATACATCTATTTTCGTTTTTGGATCCCTTTTTTTTTTTTTTTTTTTTCCTAGAACTTGTTCCAGTTAAAATTCTCACCTCTAGCTTTGAACCATATTCAAGGACAAGTTGTTTGTAATTTGTGATTATGATTATGATAATAGTATTTAGTTTTTACAAAGGGAGGAATACTTTGTGCCTCTATATTAATAGTCTTAAGAATGTTGTAAGTGCTCAAAATGTACTTCGTTTCAGTTTTGATTTCATTTTCAATTTTTTTAAGATTGTGGAAAATGCATTTAGAATAAAATCATGACTCACATAGTAGATGATGGGTTACCTTTCTCTGGAAGTTGGGTGGGTTAGATTTGCCATTTGGAGGAGGAATTTGATTATTTTATTTTTCATGTTTTGAGTGTTTGCAGTACACTCAAAATATCAAAATTATGTTTTGAATTTTATGTTACAAATTTAATTTTGCTTTCAAAAATATGTACTTTTAATTGTTTAATAAAACTGAAAACGACAGACCGAATCCCCCTAATTCTTCCTCATGATAAAAATCAATTTTTGAAAATTACTGTTCTCTTAGTGTAGCAAATCTTATCAGTAATCTCTACCTGTCAATACAACTTTCTATTGGCAAGAAAGTAAATAGATATTCTAACTTTATACTTGTTCTTCTTCTATATGTCATCAACGAATGAGTTTGTCATTTGATATTGAAATTTGAACGAGTTTCGTTACATAGTCAAATCATTTGGTTATCAGCGAAAATGGATGTAAATAATCCAATACCCGAAGATATTAAAAAGCTAAAGTATGAGCAATTAGTTATTCAATCAATAACCTTTTCCACTTCGTATAAATTGAAGAAGTCAAATAAAGAACAAGTTGATAAGGTCAAGAACTAAACATACATACAAGGTTGGATTTTACTTACAAGACGAATATAATGGTTTGCCTTGCATGCATGTACCGTAGCTAAGGACCTTGTCTAATGATCATTAATTTATTCTTTGCAAAATATAAATATATTTAGACTTGGGAATTATCTTGTTGGTTGTCCCTCGAATTAACTTAGCGGAACAAAGTTTTTATTTTTATTTTTCTCTTAAATGATGAATTATGTATCCATTAAATTTCAACATATTAAATTATAAGAATGTATCAAAACTTGATCGATAGACAACAAATGAAACAACAATATGTAGATAACTGATGTGAAATAATCTTAAAAACACATAAATTATCAAAGTACAACTTTTAATATAGAAACCTGCAACATCCATGTGATGTTTGATATATACAACATAGTATAAAGAGTATATATTGTACTACATAATTAACGGATTTTCATTTCCTTATATTTCTCAGGGCACGTTTGATGTAGAATTTTTTCATAATAGAAATTGCAAATCGTGTATTTTTTTTATTTATTTATTTATTTTTTTTGTGGAGAATGTTGAAAAATAGGAAAAAGTTATGAGCCACATGCAAAATTATATTAACAAAAATAATTTCAAGAAAAAAATGAATTTCAAAGAATATGTAGGACTTAATCATGTTCAATATACAATTTAATAAATCTATATTTCCATTTTATTATCTAATATTTAGTTGTAATTTTTCATGAGACACGTTGAAGAGTTCATATAAGGTTTCGTGTGTGCTTTTCTTTTCTTTTTTAATATTGAAATTAAAACATTGGACTGAAGCATGGGCGGCAGGCTTATGACTTCGTCCTTTTTAAATCTCTAACCTTGGCTGTCATATTATATATATATAGGGTTCTTGCCATTAATCACTCCACATCAAGATATAGCGAATTCACTTCAAAGGTTCTAAGTTATAACTCAAAGTTCAGCAAAAATGGCAAATCTTGTTTTAATCCTAATTAGTCTTCTTGCCATTGGATGGACACTAGTACACGCTGGTGAACCTAGCCCGCTTCAAGATTTCTGCGTAGCAGACTTCGATAGTCCAGGTTCGGGAATTTTTCATCGCTGAAGCCTCAATTTTATTTATTTATTTATTTTTAAACGTTAAACCTACGTGTGTTGTTTGTTGTAATGCAGTGAGAGTGAATGGTCATGCATGTCTAGACCCTAAAAAGGTAACAGCCGATCACTTCTTCTTCGAAGGACTACATAAACCTGGAAACACATCAAATCCCTTGGGGTCCTTCGTAAACCGGCCGACCGTGGATGAAATTCCCGGGCTCAACACTCTTGGCATCTCCACCGTACGAGTCGACTACGCACCACGTGGGGTTGTTCCTCCCCATCGACACCCACGAGCATCAGAAATTTTGATAGTGCTGGAGGGGGAAGTACTTGTCGGATTTGTCACCTCAGATTCAGAAAACAAGCTGTTTTCGAAAGTTTTGAAGAAGGGTGATGTTTTTGCCTTCCCATTTGGGCTCATTCACTTTCAACAAAATGTTGGGCATGGGAATGCTGTGACTATAGCCTTCTTGAGCAGCCAGAATCCGGGTGTCATTCCCATTGCTAATACTGTTTTTGGATCAAATCCATCTATTAATGATGATTTACTAGCCAAGGCCTTCCGAGTTGACAAATCGATCATCCGTAATCTCAAATCCCCATACTAAGGGTCTCTCTTTCTCTACGTATAACAGCCTCGAGTTGGTCTTTTAGATTGGCATAGGCAAGGTTCTTACCATTTTCAGGCACGACACGAGGGATAAATACCTTACTAGTATTTGAATTAGAATGCTAGACGGAGGATGTAACTTCTATTTCATTAGGCTATCTGTTATTAATTTGTTTCATTAATTATTAATTTGTTTCATTAATTAAAGTTTTTTATGTTAACTTATCGACAACCAAGAAATTAAGCTTCTTTTCATAGTCAAAGTCGTCAAGGTGATAATAAATGCACACAAAAGAAACACTTTGTTGATGATATTCTTTAGTCGACTTAATTAAAAGACACGTTCTCAACTCCAAAATGAAGTAGTTTCGGATTGCCTAAGGCCCTAAGATGTCATTTTCATAAAAAATGATTAGGCGAGTACCATGCCAAATGTATATGAAAGACATATTTATATCGAATTATATAAAATTAATCAAGCGAAGCACGAATTAACTAGCTCCTACCCTCCATTTTACACCCACATATACAACTCAATAGAACTCATAACAAATGGATTCTTAACTTTGGGTCTGCACTCAACTTCATTAAGAAACGGATTCTTAACTTTCAAATTTCATGGTAAGTGGGTGGTGAAAACATTAAACGTCAAGTGTTGCTCGTGTGAGACATTGTTTAAAGATATACGAGCAAAATCTCATGTTTGGTTCCAATATTTAATATGCACTTTTTCAACACTCATTTTCAATCACACATTTCTTGAGATTCATAAAATTTTATCAACTTTCAACTACACAGTTTACTAACTTTTATCAAAATTTATTAAAAATTTAATTTTATCCAAATCAAAAACGGTTTTTTGGTGAGGGGGGTACCGACCCTTGAACCATGAACCTTAGTTTGGAAACAATAATCTTGAATTGGTATAATAGTTCTAAAGTTAAACCAAAACATAATACTATGATTATAAAAGAGTAAAATTTTAATTTTGAACCAAGATTTATCGCTGTTTGCAACAACTTAGTGCATGTTTGGGAAGTGTATATAAACATTATAAATTACAAATAGATAAAATGAGTGATGAATACTATAGTACTGATGGATATCTTAAATTGTGCGAATAAAAGTGGTTTGAGTATTTATAAATAATTTATTTATGAGGCATACATAGGCTAAATATACCTAAGTTGTTAAGTAATAAATAACAAAATAAATATTTTAACACAATTATAAAATTTTATAAAGATAGTTTATACGAATGAACATATTAATTTACATATATTATAAAATGCAAGGATAGACCAATACTCAAAGCCAAAGGAATTAAAAAACTAAAACGTGATCAATTAGTTAATAAAGCAGCAATCTTTTGCACTTCGTACAATTGATCGAGTCAAATTATGTCATGTACAATTGAGGTAGACGTTCAATTCAATCTCACGTTTTTTTTTTTTTTTTTTCAAACAGTGTCGAATCCCAAACGACCTCTGAAATTAAGAATAAGAGAAAAACAAATCGAAAAAGTCAAATTAAAAGTATGACGTTGGATTATACGTACAAAACGACAATAATTAATGCTTAGCTATTCGGCATTAGCGTGTATGATAAATTCTTGTTTAATTGAATTGGCTAGGATGAACATTGCAATAAGGACCTTGTCTATTAACAATTAATTTACGGCATATCCATTTCCAGTATAAGTTAATATATATTTCTCTATGACCTGGACAACAAACATTCCCCATCTGAATGAGTAAATGCCAATGTCATGAAAATTGATTGGATATTGACCCCAAAAAAAAAAAGAAAAGAAAAAGAAAAAGTCAAGAGCTACAAGGTTGAATCGAGGTCGAATTTGATCATTAGAATTATTAAATAAACTAATTCTTTTTTTTTTTTTTTTTTGTTAACTATACTATAAAAATTTATGTTCAAATTAAGAGTATTTTATGACTCATTATTTGATATTTGTTAATTATTTTAATAATCGTTTCATCAAATAAAACTTAAATGGGTCCAAAAAAAGGTTATAACCCTTCATATAAATAAATGGCCCCATAAGAATATAAATAATTGCTATTTCAATGAATTAATAGAGTGTCGAGTCAAAAATTTGTGTATATTTCATCTTAAAAATGCCCCATATCTATATGATTTTAATGGAAGTTACAATTTGGATGGAATAGACTATTCTAGAGTGAGTAAAATTTATTTTTTAAGTATACTGATAAGACTAAATAATAATCATCATAAGCGTCGTTACCTAAAGCATCTCACATCATTCAAACCTAATTAACCCATAATTTCGTGATACTCCTCCTTTGATGACTATTTGTTTAATAACTGCACCATTGAAAAAGTTTGACAAAAATTCAATGCGATAAAAATATCAAACAAAAGAAAAAAGGAGTATTTGCATAATAAATGCCCCATATTTTTAAATTGTATTGTATTTATTTTGTAAACTTATTATTGAATAACTTGTATTTTTGATGCTTTGCTGACTTAAATAATGTCAATTGTTTTTTCATTATCTTTCTAGTATAGGGTCGTTGTGCTTTGTCTCCTAACTTTTTTCATTTTAAGGTTGTTGAGAATTTAAAAATGCAAGGTCACCTTCTGCCAAGAGAAGAAAGACATTGTTTTTGCACCCCGAGGCATATCCCAGTGGTGCAAAAGACAGAAGTGAGGTAGTCTCAGCCTTACTGGCAGCTAAAATGTGAGGGTTCGATTCCTGAGATGTGAAATTAGACTCTTTGTGGACACCAGTGTACATGCAAACTCTTGTTCCCTAATCTGCTTGAGTACATCTCGCGACTTACCTCCTTCACGATATTTCAGGGGCGGGGCGGTGGGGACCCTCAGGGTTTTTAAGAAAGACATTGTTTCAATCGTTATAAAGATTGATCAATCTAGCCAAAGTACACTTCATGATGAATTGATTGAAAATCAGTCTTTAATTCCAACCGTGCAATATCCTTCAATTTCATCTCTAGAAATTAGGGCTTCATCTACTAAAGCTTAAAGAGTATCCAACGATAGGGAAAGCCAAATGTATATATATATATATATATATATATATATATGCACTTTGTTTCTTGCAAAAATTGTTCACTGAATTTCCTTGGTTGGAGTGTTCTTCTTCAATGGAAATGGCATATTGTTATTGTTACTTTCTTTTTCAAAAAGATGTTAATTCGTTTAGGTATTGGAAATTGAGAGATGATTAAAAATTAAAATAAGTGTACATTTCTTGCTCATGCTAGTTTAATATATCATATTATGTGTGTGACAAGAGCTAATCATTTTACAGTTTTGCTACATATACATCAATGTTTACATCTTTCTTGACTTTTTCCACATGGCAGCATCATATCCTTTGATTTTCCCAATAATCTTTTATATCACTACCTAGATTGTGCCACATAAAGGGAATGTCAAACAAGAAGCTACAAGTAGCTCAATTCAATATTTTAATCATACCGTCTCAACTTATTGAAAAGGTTATGCATACAGTATCAGAAGTGGAACTTTGAAAAAACATTTCCATATAATGACTTCGGTAAAAAGTGTTCGATGCCAAGCATTTCAAAGTTGTGCCTTCAAAGGTAAAGATAAATCTCCTTCCTCGCTAAATCATAGGAATTTTCTACAACTTATAAAGTAAAGTTGTATTGGAAAATGCGTCACGTGGAGAATCAATGGGGGAAAAGAAATTAAGATTAGATAGGAAGAAATGGGAGAAAACTGGAAGAAGACAACCAATGGAAGTAATGGAAATTCAAATAGGGAAACGACTCAAATTTAGTTATAACTGAACGACACTATTTTGTCTTAATCAAGTTATATTAAGTTAGTTAAAACACGTCTTTTGCATTTTGTCTGAAGATATGCATTTTCTCTGTATTGGAAGACTATTGATAGAGAATTAGGGAAAAAATGAAGGGCAGCTTTTGTAATCTAAAATGTTCATTAAACTTTATTGAAATCATTCAATAGCTTTTCTCATCTCCTAATTTTCTCTTTTACCCTCTCCCCAATTCTATTTTCATTTCAATTTAGTTACCATTTCAGCTGGAACATTTCATTATCGGAATTACAGTCGCAGTGACAATCAAAGCTAAGTTCCATCCGTGACAAATTGGTATCAGAGTGGGCATATAAGACTAGGCATTCACAAGCTATGGATTCACAAGCCAAAACTATAGATAGGCATTTGATGAAGCTGGATTTGGAGATAGAGGATCTGGGTACATACTTTAAAGTTGTTACCAATAGATTAGAGAAAAAATTGGAGTCCACAAATCAAAATCCCCAGGCATTTAATCATAGGCAAAAGAAAGTGGAAGATGTTTTATTGGATATGAATGAGAAACATGAAAAGCTAGTGACCATGATAGCCCAAATGTCTTCAAATCTTAAAATGAAATAGAAAAATAAAGGAATAGTAGCCCAAATGTCTTCAGTTTTGGGAGTGTGATAACTACACAATGGACTAGTAGTAACGAGAATAGTGTTTTTACTAAAGGGGAATTCAAGGGAAATGGTAGATTTCCTAGAATTGATTTCCCCCAATTTGGGGGAGAACGACCCAGGGAATGGCTAAGGAAAGCTATGGAATATTTTCAACTCCATCAAATTTCTGATGAACTTTGATTGGGAGTTGCAAAGATGTATTTGAAAGGGAAGGCTGATATATGGTTTTATGTATTCATTGCAAGCCATTCTAATGCAGATTGAAGAATCTTCTCTGTAGAGTCATGTAAGAGATTTGATATGAATACTGAAATTATTAAGGCTACATCTGCCCCTGAGGTGGAACAACAGGATGATGAAGGAGACGGGGGACTAGAACCTTTAGATGAAAGTGAATGCAAAAGGTAAGGAAAGGCGAAAATTGAGGGCGAGGTTAAACCACAAGATGTTGATATTCAATAGGTTGAGAGTCATGACTTTATAGATGGAAAACATATTTTGGTTGGTAACCGAAAGTTGCTGACTGAAAATCAAGTTCATATACCAAGCCTTATGGAGATTTCTATCAATGCTTTATCAGGAAATTCAGGGCATAAAACTATCAGAATTTCTACAATTTTAAAGGGAAAGAGGATATCTATTTTAATAGATAGTGGAATCACACATAGTTTCATAGATGAGGGACTGGCAAAGAGCTGTATTACGCTACTGAGGAAACCAAAACCATGACAATGAGAGTGGCTAA